TGCGCAACGGGGGCTATGCGCAAGTGGACATATGTTCCCCCACACTCGTGGGACCAAAAATGAACCAAAATGAAAATAAAGAAACGAAAACAAAAAATCGGAGAGAGCCCGGATCTCCAAGAAAAAAGCCGGAGGGAGCGAGTTGCTCCCACAAAAGAGCAGCGTTTGGAGCGGCTCAACTAACACGAAGAGGACAGGAGCGGAGCTTGGTCCAGAAGACAAGGCAAGCACTAGTAAAGGGGCAGAAGCTAAAGCTGGCCCACAGAAAGTGGTAGCGCTGGAGGCAGCCAAACTCAAACCCTGCGGCCAAAACACGGCTGAAAAGCAGGGGGAGAGAGGAGATGCCAAAAGGTCTACCGCCGGAAGTGCATCTGCCAGGGAGTGGCCTGCATTTAGCATGCAGGACCCGTCAAAGGCAAAATATGCGGAGAGACGACGCGCCGCATACTTACTAAGGTTGGTAGAGCTAAAGCCGCCAACGAAAGAGGAGCTAACGAAGGAGCTCCAAACATCAATTGACTGCGCGAGAGCAGTCATACCCAACTTTAAGTTGGAGCCGCCGGTAAAGGCAGCCAAGCGACAGAGGTCAGCTGAAGAGGCAAAGCCGTCAGCTAAGAGACCGAAGACCAAGGGTGTAACGCCCGCAAAATCATTTGCAGAAGTGGCCCGGAACCGAATTGTCATTGGCGTTCTGGATGAGGGAGATCCCGAAGGAAGAATCCCCAGAGCCCAATGGAAATGGGTGCAGGCTGCGCTGACAAATGTGGCGCTGGAAGTGCTATTAAGCAATCCGGGTCCGCCACCGTCATGCGCAGATGCCGGCTGGTACCAGGGCCAGATCAAAATGATTGCGTGCGACGACGAAAGATCGGTCGCACTATACAAAGCTGCTATAGCCAAGGTGGGAGAGGTATACCCCGGGGCAAAATTGGTAGCAGTGGACAAGAAGGACATACCATCCAGACCAAGGGCAAGGGTATGGATTCCGGCTACACCAACTCAGCCGGACCAAATTATGCAGCTCATAAGAGCCTGCAACCCGAGCCTACCCACTGAAGGGTGGAGGTATGTCAAGACATTTGAGGACAGCGTAGCGGAATCTGGCGTGGAGACCAAAAGGGCCACGATGCAGATTCTGCTGCTATTAACGAAAGAATCCATCGAACCGCTGGCGAAGAGTGGCGGGGAGATAAATTACGGGTTCACGAAAGTAAGGATAACGCCTTACAAGTCGGACGCCGATGCTGCAGACCATCTGGCATCGGGGAAAGAGATATGCGAAGTAGAGGAAGATCCCATGGAGTCCTCGAGCGACGCGGAAAGCATGGAGCAAGGTGAGTGTTCTTCTTCCGAGTCTGAGCTTGCGGCCAGACTCTCAAGCTTGTATACTGAAAAAGAGCTTTTAAGCGACTCTCAGGAAGACGCAGATATAACAATTGTTAATGCGTCTTCTACAAATTAATCTCCATCATAGCAAACTAGCTTCAGCAGCCCTAATTAACCGCGTGGCAATGGAACAGCCTGAATTTGTCCTCATTCAGGAGCCATGGGTTAATGGGGGGCGTATTTGCGGACTGAGGGCGCCGAACTATAAGTTGCTGATGGCTAACTGTGAAGGTAAAATCAGAGCCTGCATAATGGCAAGGAAAAACCTTAATGTTTTTATATTACATAATTACAGCAACAACGACACAGCAACAGTAAGCTGGGAAACGGGCTCAAGCAGTTACCGGCTAGTGTCGTGTTATATGCCGTATGAGCAGGAGCTGGTGCCACCTCTGATGGTAAAAGAGGTGGTACGGGATAGCGAGGCATCCAAGTGCATGACGATACTTGGATGCGACTCAAATGCGCATCACACAATCTGGGGCAGCACAGATGTAAACGACAGAGGTGAGTGTCTTATCACACTTGTGTCGGAAGAACTAATTGACAGGGTAACCCAATGGAGGGTTCTCGAAGAACATTCCTTTTCGGATCACCGATATATCGAATGTACAATAGAGGAAAGGGCCGATAAAGGCATTAACTTCAGGAATCATAGGAGAACGAACTGGCAGGTGCACATGCAAGAGCTAGAGAAACGTATCCCTATGATTCTACCGTTTCAGCCCAATAGCAAGGAGGATCTAGATATCCTCGTTAATCGACTCACGGAATCGTGCCGGCAAGCACTAGAGGTGGCTTGTCCAATAACACGAAGCAGGGGTAGAATAAGGCCCCCCTGGTGGTCTCTAGAACTTAAAAAGCTACAGAAAGAATGCAGAAAGCAGTTCAATTTAGCAAAGCACTCCCAAGACGAGTCAGACTGGGATTATTATTACAACATCCTTAGGTCATACAAAAAGGAAGTTAGGAAAGCAAAAAGAAATTCATGGAAATCGTTTTGCAATGATATCGAGAACACGGCGGAAGCGTCTCGACTTAGGAAAATAATGGCACAATCGGTGCATAGTATCGGGTATCTTCAGAAGCCAGACCGAAGTTGGACGGTATCCAGTGAAGAGTCCTTGAGGCTACTAATGGATACCCACTTCCCAGGCAGCTCTGAAAGCCATACTGCAGAATATACTCAAGACAGTGGAGCAGAAATGAGCCCCACTCTCATAAACATAGTGTCAGAAAGCAACGTACGCTGGGCAATAAACAGCTTTAAGCCCTTCAAGTCGCCGGGATCAGACGGTATATTCCCGGCTCAATTGCAGCAGTCGCAGAATCACATAATGAATTGGCTAATTGCCATCCTTAAAGGGGTGCTGCAATTAAACTATATATCGCTGGGCAGTATCGTGCGGATTAAATTTAAATGCTGGTAAGACAGAGATCGTATTGTTCACCAGAAAACATATTACTCCAGAAGTTACGGCGCCAATAATAAATGGTTGCAGACTAACAATTGGAGATAAGGCAAGCTACCTGGGACTAATCTTAGACAGGAAGCTCTCATGGAAACAAAACTTGGATGCTAGGGTGAAGAAGGCAGCCACAGCACTCTACACCTGTAAAAGGATGGTGGGCCCCAAATGGGGACTTACACCTCGGGTAACTTATTGGCTCTATACAGCAGTAGTCAGACCAATCATGACATACGGTATATTGGTATGGTGGCCAGTAATGGAAAAGAAATACGCGGTAAAGCGTATGGAAAGCATACAGAGAGCAGCCAGCATATGCATTAGTGGAGCTCTTAGAACAACGCCAAGTCAGGCTCTTAACGTCATTCTACACTTACTGCCAACAGACCTGTTCTGTAAACAAGTGGCAGCAAAGTCAGCTCTTAGACTGAGGGAACCCTCCCAACTAGTCGCATGCGACAAGGGGCATTCAAGGATACTCAGTATATTCCCGTTTCTACCCAAAACCACGGATTTCCGTAATCCAACAGAACGGAAGCTAAATTCGGTCCACAATATTGCCTACCCCACAAGAGAGAAGTGGAAAAGGGGCGAGGTGGACAGGAATACAGAAATTAGCATCTACACGGATGGATCCAAACTGGATCATAGAGTGGGAGGTGGTGTCTTTTGCGCAGCATTAAACACCAACATCGCCTTCCGGTTGCCAGACCACTGCAGTGTCTTCCAGGCGGAGATCACAGCAATTAAAGAAAGCCTTGTGGTATTGACAAAAAGTGTGCTCACAACAAGGAGCATATATATATACACGGATAGCCAAGCGGCCTTGAAATCACTCAAGTCTCCAATGGTTTCATCCAAGCTAGTGAAAGATTGTCTTGATCTATTAGAGGATCTGACATCCTACTTCACAATAAACCTGCAATGGGTTCCAGGACATAGCGATATTCCTGGTAACTGCGAAGCAGATGAACTAGCCAGAACAGGCACCACTTTGCAACTAACCCCTGAAAAAGAGAGTATCTTTATGCCTCTGGCAACTTGCAAACACCTAATCGGCGAATATGCTATAAATATAGCTGAGTCTCGGTGGAGACAATCAATAACCTGCACAACCAGCAGACTAACGTGGCAGGAATGGAGCGTGAATCGCACAAACCGACTACTAAAATTTAAAAGGAGTGATATAAGAACTCTGATAGGAGTACTAACAGGTCACTGCCTAATTGGCAGACATGCAAGTAGGCTAGGTGTACCATACAACGACTATTGTAGAAGCTGTCAGGAAGCAGAGGAAGAGGAGACTGTAAAGCATCTTCTATGCGAATGTAAAGCTCTATATAGGAAAAGAATCGCAACTATCGGTCGTGGATTCCTTGACGACGTATCAGAAGTTGCTAATATAAAATTATTTGTACTGATGAACTTCATCAGGAGCACAGGTTGGTTCAGGGAGGAGACGATAGAGTGAGGGAACATTAGTCCCGGTGGTATCACAATGGGCCTCCTATAGGCCTAGGTGCGTCATTGGACAGCCACTCTACCTACCTACCTACCTAGCTCTGATTCACAAGGTGGTAGAGAAGAGCCATCAATACCTTTTTTTGGTGACTTGAATGTCTCAGTATCCGAGAATTTATATGTTTTTTCAAACAACGCTACTCTCGCCTCATTGTACAAATTGCACAAATATTGTCTCTATTCGCTAATGATTTTGACATTTGGATGAAACACTCAATGAAATCATTCGATTTAGCCATTATTGAAAAAGGCTTTTCGAAAAAGGCCGGGTTAAAATCACACCCTGTGAATGCGTGAAATGCCGGATGCGCTCAAATCAGATCCTAAAGATTCATATAATTTAGTAACGTTAATAAATCTTTGAGCTTTTCCAACTCCAACTTCCATGCAAATGTGGATATTTTCTGATATATTAGCCATGTTAGCTAACATAATTATTAATACGTCACTGTCTGAACAACGAATTGTCATATTCGCATTAATATCAATATAGCAGACATGGAAAATCATCTTTGTGTCCGCTTCTTAGTGAGCCGGGCAGAAAAATTCTTCAACACGAGTTTTTATAACTTTTGAGTCATTAACTAGGAATCTAAAATAAATGTCTGTACTCACATAAACAGTTTTATCCTTTATATACGGCCACATAGGTATAATCTTCTTCCCAATTTTCAATAAGAAACTGTACCAGTGCTTCCTTAAAATTAACATTCTTCAGCTCAAGGGAAAAATCTTTGCTTCGCACTTGGTCCGGGCCTTCGATGTGGAATTTTGCTTGCTCCATACCTCGTAGCTTGTGTTCTGTAACTTTTATTGATGGAAAAATTTATCTATCGAAGGCAATGTATATTATCTTAGCTGTGGTTGCACATATCATTTGCAGTATTTTTTTTTAAATATTACCAAAACTTAGAACTGCGGTCACGTCTTGTACTTTACTATGTCCACATTCATTCATTGTATGAATGGTGATAGTTGAACGAATAGTATGACTGCGACACCATCGTTGCCTAGCTGAGATTGAATTAGTTATATTCGAAATTTCCGTCAGCTTATTCGCAGCATCAGCGTTTATAGTTTGCTCAAGAGTCAAATCAATTGGTTGCTTTGAGTAAGGCTTTTTTGTTCGTTTCATACCGAATGATCCTTTTTCAAACTTTTCGCGTAATCCTGGATGAGTCTCGTCAACTTTTATTAAATTATCAAGATACTTAACTAAATAACGGGCATAATTTTGCTGTCGGAAAACGAAAAACAAATTAACTATTTTCAATAAGGCCAGTTTATAGATTTCGAAATTACTGGAACGGATGCTTGTATTGAGTAATAAATAATAATCAATGAATTTTACATACATCATGCGCTGTCTTGCCATGCGTGCCTTTCAAAGTATTTTTTTTTAAATTGTTCATATCTTTCAAGTAGTTCCATTAATCCGGTTAATTGTATTGTCGGTTCAACCGTTCTTGTTTTTAAAAACTGGACCAAATAGTTTTTGAATTTATCAGGTAAATTTATATTTTCATGTTGAAGGAAGCTTTCAAAATGCAACATTTTCAATGCTAATGCAATCATTGGATGTAAACGTTTACATCTATTAAAATGTTTGCCACTAATAAAACCATTAACTGATCCATTGGCGAGTAATTCTTCATTTAACATGATATTTGCGAGACCACAGTTATCAATAAATTTACCCACTGCTTTGAAATACGCCATAACATGAAATGCTCCAAGATGGACAAATAAATCTTTAAAAGTTTCAGCTTCAGTACTCTTGATTTGCAGGGCAACTTTTGCCAAGCCCGCCAAGCATACCTGCATACTGTCTATGCTATGCTAGCATGTGTTGTTTGAGTCTTTAAATATACCAAGAATAATTAGAGACGTTATTTCCTCCCACATGAAAATTTGTGAGGTGATTTTAAATATATTTCTGTGATAAATAGAAAAAATCAGCTAGCAATAAGTCGAGGGAAACCTAGTCAGCTGGTGCCTTTAAATAGTCAGTAAATGCTACTGGCTAACTTCTACGTAACGACCTTCAAAGTATCAGCTGACGGTTTTTCCACCGAGATACAGCCAGCTGACGTATATACTTATCAATAGTTACATATCAGCTATCATCAGGTAAATTTTTATTTGAGAGGATATCACTGAAAGTGAAGATTTTTTTTCCATGATCGAGACATCAGCTGACGTACAACCCACTATGTTATAGCCAGCTGTCTATTTTTTTTTGTTGTGTTATTAGGTTAGCTATAATTTGATAATTTTAGCCGAGAGGAAATGAGTGAATGTATTTTTTTTTTCTTCAAGGATGGGAGGCTGCACACACTCATCCCCCCAACCGAGCCTCAGCTGACGTTCACGAGGCTTTATGATTCGATTTTCTGATGCGTATCGCCAATTATATTTCGAGAAGAAATAATTAACCAAGGCTCTCGGACTATACCTCTTTATTTAGAAAAATAATTTTAAATTATGAAAAAATGCCGGCCATTTTTGATGTTGGTGATGATTGTGAGATATACCCGCTGTATTTTAAAAAGTCCACAGGGGTGTTTAATTTGTGCGTGATTGTGCATTTTATGGATCCCGTTATCTCCCACGGTCGCTTATTTGCACCTAAAATTCTCCAGTGATGAATATGTATTATTTTATTACAATTAAAAAGGGGAATAAATACAAAATTAATTATTCCTAACATTAATTATTCTTATATTTTCAAATAATACCCGATCTTTTAAGAACATATATTAAAATAATCTGATTTTTTTTGAAAAAATGTTAAAGTTTTACATAAAACCAATATTTTCGGGCATCATTTTCTTAATTCTTTCGCTCTCAGTATACATATATTATAATAACAGAGAACGTAAATTCTCAGAGAAAGTAAATTATAGAGAAGGTTAAATTGCAGAACAGCGTGTGAATTGTCATAAGCTTACAAAATACAGTTGGCGGATATAAATTGCTATTGCAGACGTACTCGTGGACTAATTTTTTAATTATTTCCTATGTTTGATGATCCTAAGTAATATAATACATATGTATGTATGTACATGTACATATGCATATGGGTCATTGTATCCTAAATTTACATTCAATAATTTTTTTCGTGCTAAACATTATTTTTTCTGTTGCGTATACGAAACAAAGTATTTCTTAACAAAAATACCGAGCTCGCCTAATGTTTACGATTTTTATTTTTGTTGAAATTAATACAAGAAGATTGCTTTGTCATGTATTTGTTAATGAATACAACTGGATTGTACCTGGTTTTATATATTCATTTTGGTTTTGGATTAAGGTGATTATATCGACGTATATAAGTGTACCTGATATATATTTTTTTTCTTTCTAGAGGTAGTAAGTAAAAACAATAAATATGCAAGAAACTTTTGTTTCGAAAATATTTTTGAAAGTTTTCATTAATGTTTTCCTTTACAAATACCTGTTCACAAAAAAGGTATTAAACTACATCCTTTTATTTACATCTCTGTGTTAAAAAAGGATCTCGATCAGGTGATCTCAGCTGTGGGCACATAGGAAAACAGCTGATTCTTTTCTTACTTGTAGCAGAGAACGTATATCATAGAGAAGGTTCATGGTGTGCCGATTGTCAAAATGTTCCTCTTGACGGAGGGTTACTCGCCAACTTAAGAGGATCTCACCTCAAACAAATTATAAGCGGATTTCACCAAAATTTTACCCCTGCGGAGCGCAAAATAGTAGAATTGAGCATTTTGAATGTTAAATGAGAAAAATAATGCTAAATTCAATGTTAAAAAATGTACGCTTACATATTCGTATATTTACAATGCGCAAACGACTTTGCATATAATTTTAAGATATTCTGCATATACAGGGCGGCTCACGAATCGTGCTACAAAAATTAACCGTAATAAGTTTTCTTTTAGTCAATGCATTACATACATTTTTTTTTATTGTATAGAAAATTTTATTTTATTTAAACAATTAATTATTCCTCCATGCTCAACCACGCATATGCGACACCTAATTCGGGATTGCATCATCTATCTATTTAATGGACTGCTTCAGTTCAGTCAGATTTCTGGGTTTGATTTTGTACACCTCTTGCTTGACATAACCCGATAAGAAAAGACGAAGCGGTCCCAAATATTCTTATTAATATATATGTCTAATTATGTTTGCATGTAAACAAATATGAAAGTACCCATTATAATTGTTAATTTGTCTATATGCAACGTATGTATGTAAATATGTACACTCATTGTTTCATGGGAAATCTCCGTTGCCCTTGACAACCAATGACCGAAGCTCACGTTTTTTGTTTTCTTGTCAAAGAGTCACTGTGTCGAAGGACTGACGCGACGACAAAGCGTCACAACATTGTGTTGTTGGTAGAAAATCCGAGCTGTGCCGAAAAAATATTAACGAACGGCCGCCGATTGTCACCGCTTCCCTTGCCGCTCTAACAGCTTTGCCCACAAATCATCGTAAATATGTATGTTTATATATGAGCATGCATACATATTGACGCAGATTTTTGTGAGACACGGAAAAATATTTTAAAATTGTAAAATATTTTAAATCGACAAAAGCTTTGTTGCCAGTTTTGTCAATTTTTTCTGTGTTTTGTGGGCTTGCGTGGTTGCAACTTTTCCCTTCCAGAGGGAATACAGAAATTTGTTCAATTTATGATTTTTAGCTTTTGCCATCGTCGCGAAAAGAAGCTTGTTGGCAAACGCATGCTCGGGGGGATGTGAGGGTATCTGTTTTTATGAATGAAGCGAGGTTGCTTGTTAAAAGTACGCCTGCGTTCATGAATGAAAATGTTGTTGTTGTGTAATTTACTATAAATTTGGGCTTCGCCTATTTGGCTGACATATTGACTTGTGACGATTGTTGTTTTTGTAGAACAATGTTTGTAGTTTTTGCGGGTGACATATTTACATGTGGACGCACACACATATGTAGGTTGGTTTGTGTATGCATTATTTGTTCGGCAATTTTATGTAGATATATGCGTGTACATATAAATCAATGCGCGCACATATAGTGTATTGATAAGTGATAAAATCATGATTTGACTTTCTGAATGCGTACATTCAAATACATACGTACATACATATGACTATATAAGATTAATATGATAAAATATATATATATGTAAAAACTAAATAAAATTATTAAATGCCCAAATTGACTATAAATATTATTTCGAAATTTCATAATTTAAAAGATCTTATCAGTTTTGCATGCATTCATAAAAATTCGTAAAATGATATTCATATCAATAAATATGATTGCATATAAACGTATAAAAATATAAGCCAAAAGGCTAACATGCAGCTGTAATATCAAAGCAAGTCTCTGAGCATAATTTTCATACAATGCCCAGCTCTGTTTACGCGCCACTGTTAAAATTTCTCCTTCCGAGCCAGATGTGGTGAAATCCTCTATTAAAATCTTGTTAGGTTTTGACAATTCACACGCTGGTCCGCAATTGAACCTTCTCTATGATATACGTTCTCTGCTTGTAGGCTTATACAAAGAGTCGTACTTGTATCAGGAGCCAACACTTTTTTTAAATATCTAACCCGGGCGTTACGCGATCAAGAAATTGAAATTGAATTGAATTAAACCGTCTTGATATCAATTTTCTTATTCAAGTCGACTGTTCGATATCAAAATATAGGTATATCAATCATTATATTATAAATTTCGTTCAAAATCGTCAAGAATTTTAAATGGTTTTCATGACAACGGCATCCTGAAAGTATTATTGATTATCAAGTTGATTGCAGCCAACGTTACGGCTGCCAATTTTAATCAATTTTGACACGAAGCTTATGTGATCAACTTCAAAGCAAATTCCTGATTGTGTAACTGCAGCATAATTGATTTCACTAAGTTATTAGTTGTATTACAGAAGAAGAGTTAAATAAACAAAAGAACAACGTTCAATTTCAATGAAAAGGTACGTTGGTTTTTGCATATTTCATGTTTGAATATAAGAATATTTATGTCTCACCAGTCACGCAAAAATATACAAAAGTTGTTTAAATGAGTTAAGCTTCCCCCTACATACACACCACTCTACCCGTGAAAAAATGGCGCGCCCTAATATAATACACCACACCAGATGACACCACACGGGACAATATAGCACACCACAATACCGCGCGTGTATATCACCAGCTAACAACAGGCATGGTCTGCGCAGCTTTTCCACCTCTTTCAATACGATCACGCGCTACCTTAATTCAAAATAAATAATTTATGTATGTACATACATTATATACATTAAATTATGTACATTAATAAGGAGTTCATTTACATTCTCTGAATAATCTGAATACCCCTAAAGATTTGTGTATATACCACATACACATAACCTATCCAGGTATATACATATGTATGTTATGTATAGTCAAGCTCTTAGAAAGTTATTTGCATAGTTTTGCTTTAAGGTACACATAAAACAAGTTCGCAGCCAGCAACCAAATTGAAGTTCCAATAGCTTTAAACAACAATAACAAGCTTAAGGCAGTAAAAGCATTCTGAGTTGCTTCGATCTGCTTAAGCTTAAGTATGCAGAACGCAAAATGCATGGCCGAACAATTCTCTTGTTTTAGAGTTACCGAAATATCAACATATTACCGGTTGAATTTTGGTAGTTATTAATATGAAAGTATTCATATTATAAATTAAGATTGGTAGCGTTCGGATTACATAGACCCGACTCTCTTGGAACGGCGGATCTAAATTCTCGGAATGGTCCTCGTAGTTTCGGAAAAATATTTAGATAGTTATTGTTATTAAGCAGCACACATAGCCTGAATTACAAAAAAAAAAGAAACAACGGT